AGTATATCAATTGTCCAAAGAGGTTGTGTTCTACAGTCTGCCTGAATGTAATCATTGCGTAGGTGTGTAGTGTGATTCTGTGTAGTTTATTTATGGCATCCCGTTGGATTTGACGTCATCTGAACAGGACTCAGCACGCTCACTGCTTGATAGCGCCCGAAGGTCCGTTTACGCCGGTTGCTAAGCAACATCGTTACGGGGAAATGCAAGTCTGCGTCCAAATGATTGGAAGATAAGGAGGAAGGACAATCAATACTGTATATAGTCAGTTTAAGATGAGGTCCTAAAATGTATGGAAAGGGTCTTAAAAAAGGTCTTAAAAGGTTTTACATTTGACTTCAGGATTCCTGCAGATACCCTGGATATAAAACCTAGAAAAAGCATAAAAACTCCATGTTTGTAAGGCTGGAAACTGCAAGTTGACATCAACAGTGCATCAGCAGTTCTAATTTAAAACTCATCCTGGAACCACGGACCCAGTTTGACTCTCTTTTTATTGTGTGTATATATAGCTTTCAGTTTAGTGATGCTTGTCATCTGGTTCAGAGACACGGACAGGCACGGGTATGCAGTATTTCCCCTAGGTTTACTGCCTTGGCAGGGTGCTAAACATTTTTTTATTTTATCGTATGCTTGTCATACATTGCTGACGATACATTTTAAGAGGCAATTTGTTGAGTCACTGCCGCTAAATGCCGGTAGCATCAAGCTAGCAAATCCTGCATTAGCCTGACATCAACAGGTGTAGACAGAACATCCAATTATCCTGAGCTAATTTACTGAATAAACCATCTCACATCTCCTGCCCTTCAGAAACAGAGCGGAGCGAGAATGTGAATACGCAAAGCAGTGGACACTGAAACATGCAAATACATTTGATAAATAACATGGCGTTTAGTTTATTTAATAAAAGAGCACATGTTCAATGTGAAAAGTGACCGTAGATAGATTACTTCAGTTGCAATTTGTTGCTATATATATATATTTTTTAAATAAAAAAACACCTTGAATTTTAGGCGGGGCGCGGGGGCCCATTGGCAGGGCGCAGCACCCCGCCAAGACAATGGTAGGGGAAACACTGGGTATGTCCTCCTGTCATAGAGCGTTTCATTCTAAGTTTGATGTCGTCTTCAAAGGTGCTGGAGCTGATCTGTACCAGGGAGTCTGGCGCTGTGTTCGAGGCCGGCGGTCTGAACTGTGTGCTGACCTTCATCAGAGACAGCGGACACCTGGTCCACAAAGACACGCTGCACTCCGCCATGTCCGTGGTGTCCCGGCTCTGCAGCAAGATGGAGCCTCAGGACTCGTCTCTGGAGACCTGCGTCGAGTCTCTGTCCAGCCTCCTCAAACACGAAGACCACCAGGTAACCTGTTCAGATGTGTAATTAGGTAGATCATTTGTTTATATATAATTTATAAGTCAATCATATTTTTTTGTACTACTTAAGTTTGTACAGTATCCTAATTCTCATTTCATTATACCACCTAGTTTCCGTTCAACATTAGCATCACTTCACATGCTTTTATCACATGGCAATACTTATGTATAATGTTTTTATAATACACCCTCGAAATAAATCAAATCGGAGACAACAGTTTGTTTCCCAGCAGCAGCAGCTTTACCAGCAGATCTAACCTCTCTCTCTCTCTCTCTCTCTCTCTCTCTCTCTCTCTAGGTGTCAGACGGTGCCCTGCGCTGCTTCGCCTCATTGGCCGACAGGTTTACTCGCCGCGGTGTTGACCCCGCCCCTTTAGCCAAACATGGGCTGACGGTGGAGCTGCTATCCCGCATGGCGGCCGCCGGCGGCTCCGTGACAGGCCCCGCCTCCTCCTGTAAGCCCGGCCGGACCTCCACAGGCTCCGCCCCCTTGGCCCCAGACGCAAAACTGAGCAACCAGGTGTCGACCATCGTCAGCCTGCTGTCCACGCTGTGCCGGGGGTCACCGCTCGTCACACATGTAGGTCTACCTCCATTAAAAACAAAACACATGAAGCCCAAAAATAAATAAATGTGTTTATTTTACGATAGAATGAATTATAATGAAATGTTCAAAGTCTGGAAAAGGCTTTAAAAGTTAAAACAAAACACACGAAGCCAAAAAAGTTATCATTATTTATTTTAGCTAAAGGAATTATTATGAAATGTTCAAAGTCTTGTATGTTTGGTAAAGGCTTAATTGGAACCATTATTTTTCCCAAAGTTAGGATTAGGCTTGATTTAAAATACATTTTCTTTAAACAGGATGACACTAAACATAATCTGCTGTTCTATCTACATCACTCATGTTAAAAAAAATATGCAATACGAAACAATCCTGTTATAATATCTGTTCGTTGTTTGCTGGTGTCACCAGAATCAAAACATACAATACAAATTAATTGGTAGCTTCAAAAATAAAGACATTGCCATTGATTTCTGTTGTTATAAAGAAATGTTTTTTGCAAATGCATTTATAGAAACCATTCAGATGGTATGGAAAAGTCTGTAAATATGGTTTACAGTTTTCACTCCTGTTCAAATATTTAAAAATGCAATATGAAACAATCCTGTTATCATATCTGTTGGTGTCAGCAGAATCAAAACCTACAATTAAAATTAATGAGTAGCTTTAAAAATAAAGAAAGTGACAATTTACATTGATTCCTCTGGTTATAAAGAAATGTTTTTAACTACATTCTTTGCACTTGCATTTATAGAAACCATTCAGATGGTATGAAAAAGTCTGTAAATATGGTTTAGTCGCTGAGAGAAGCGATAGAAACCCTGGATTTGACAGAGCAGTTGAAATGCTCCCCTTCCCTCCCGTCTTCAGGACCTGTTGCGTTCAGCGCTGCCCGACTCGATGGAGTCCGCTCTGGGAGGAGACGAGCGCTGCGTGCTGGACACCATGCGGCTGGTGGACCTCCTGCTGGTTCTGCTGTTCGAGGGACGGAAGGCTCTTCCCAAATCCACAGCCGGGTCCACGAGTCGGATCCCCGGCCTGCGACGCCTCGACAGCTCAGGGGAGAGATCCCACCGACAGCTCATCGACTGTATCCGCAGCAAAGACACCGACGCTCTGATCGACGCTATCGACACCGGAGGTAAGAAAACTGACCGTGGATACGGCTAAGGTTAAACTACGGACGATGTAGACTAAAGATGACATCATTTTTTTAAAAACAGGATTAATGAGGGTAAAAGGACATTGCCTTCAACATTTCATGACACCAAGAAATGAATTGGTAACAAAATGTGACTTAAATTAGATAGTACCAATTAATACTTCATCCCCAATTTTTCAAAACAAACAAACACTGACCGAAAACAAACACTGACCTTTCAAAACAAACAAACACTGACCTTTCAAAACAAACAAACACTGACCGAAAACAAACAAACAAACACTGACCTTTCAAAACAAACAAACACTGACCCAAAACAAACAAACAAACACTGACCCAAAACAACAAACACTGACCTTTCAAAACAACAAACACTGACCTTTCAAAACAAACAAACACTGACCTTTCAAAAACAAACAAACACTGACCTTTCAAAACAAACAAACACTGACCTTTCAAAACAAACAAACACTGACCTTTCAAAACAAACAAACATTGACCTTTCAAAACAAACAAACACTGACCCAAAACAAACAAACAAACACTGACCCCAAACAACAAACACTGACCTTTCAAAACAACTGAGACTGCCAAAGGCACA